TGGGAGGATGCCTTCTCTCTAGCTTGGCAGTAAGAAGAAAGAAGTTGCCAGAGAAATAAAATTCATATTTTTAGAATTCTTACTAGTGATGTTTTCATGCAAGTGTCTTTACTGTATTGGCCCAATTGTCTTTGTCATGAGGTCATTCAGCGTTCTGAATTGTGTGAAAGTCGAAACCTGATTTAATTTCTCTAATAAAACTCTTAGAGGATCTTTTTAGTAGAAATCTTCTTAGGACAGCTTTCTTAAAAAAATACTAACAGCAAAGGAGAATCGCTTGCTATCTACTGAATGCACATTGAAAACAAAACCTGTTTTCTACGCAGTGTATTTGCTTTGATTGAAATAGAAAAACTTTCCAATCTTAGTTGCATAAATACTTTTGATTCCTGCCCTGAAAGGGTGTGCGTGTGTACAGTGTGCTATTCATTGCGGTGGTGGGTATGAGTTTTTCAAACTCCTTTTTTGGACTGAAAGTTGACTACTCTCAATGGTATTTTAATTCTTTTGAATTATAGTTTTAAAGGTAATTAAGAAGCATGGAATGATAAACTCACTCAATATGTGGCTATAAATACATGATGTGACTAGAGTTGCCCTGCATCCCCACCAACTCAAGTTATGATTTCACTGGACATCACAAGCTAAGGAGTGTTTAGAACTTTGCATGGCTGGTCTTAGGGGTATGTGCACATGGCACCATCAAGCACTTGAGCTCACTTTAAATCTGTTAGCATGGGTAGCAGAAGCAGGAAAGCCGTTTTAGCACGGTGGTCTGCCTAGGCTAATAGTCCCTGCATCTCTGCAGGGCCAATTAGTCTTTTCAGAGCAATGTACTAATGTAGTTGTACCGCATGCAGTTATCTCGGGTATTTCAGTTAGAGTTTGTCCATGTACCACTCTGTGACGTTCTAATATGTGATGTTGACATGCCTTTGAACTCAAACCTAGGGCTCTGTTGAAAGTGTTGCTGATGACTGCATTAGCTTCCTTTTTCCCGTTTACACCAGTTAATAACTAATGGTAGTTTATTACCTTCATAGGGTAATAACTAGAAGAAGAACAAAGATGCTGGAGTCCAACCTGGCTGACGTCTTAAAATCCCTTCATAAAGAGTGCTGTTGTGGAGCAGGGGGGAAAGGGTTCTGAGGGCATTGCACTCGATTCCTACAGATCTTGCTAGTGAAGATAGTTTGTCTTTCCGTTGAAATCAATGAAAATATAATTGGACCTGGTGTGTAACTATTCTTTGGAGCATATCACAGGATAATGTAAAAAATGTGAGTCCTACAGACAGCATCAGCGCTATATGGTTAAAACTGGTTGTGAATTTAACTTCTAGGAAGTTAATCATTTCTAGTGTGACATACGCATGGTCTGGCATCCCCTCCTCCCTCCCAACCTGGTGGCTGCATGGAGTACTATAGATGTACTCTGTTCTCTCAAGCTGCTTTTGGGGCCTTGTCTGAATTAGAGTTCTACTATAGAGCTGTGCCAGTCAGGAGTGTGAAAAGGTTGTTTTGCTTAGGTAACTTAGCTATGTTGGCAGACTTCCTAGTGTGGATGCAGCCGTGCCTTGTCTTTTGGGGCTGAGCTCCTGTCTTTTGGGGAAGCTGGTGTAACTCTAGCAGTGGAAAAATGCCTACTGCGTGTATCCCACGAGGTCTAGGTTCCACCATAGAAAATGACAAAAGCATCATGGTGCAGATCAGTGGTTCTCAACCTTTTTTGTACCAGGACCCATTTGTAAACGTTGATGGCCAGTCCCGACCCAGTGCCCCTCACTCCTGACCTGCTGCTCCCAGGCCCTAGCCCCCCCCCCCCCCCCGTGTGTGGAGCAGGGGGTGGGTGTGCAGGGCAGGTGGGGGTGTGTGTGGGGCAGGGACATGAATGATGTGTGCCCCGGAGGCTGGTGGGGGCACAGGAACTGCCCACAGGCAGCAGCGAGTGGGGAGCTCCTGCAGGTAGCCACCGCAGTGTTGGTGGTGGGAGGGAGGGGGTGGTGAGTGGCAACTTCCAGCAGCATTGGCGGTGCTTCTCTTAGGGGTGCATATGCACCCATGTGCACCCCCTACGTGTTGCCAATGGGCAGGAGGGTCCCCAAGCAGCCCCTTGCAGGCTGGAACTCTGCTAGCCTGCAAGGGAGAAGCCACGGTTTCCCATGTTTTTCTCCTTTTAAAGGATAATCCATTTTTTAAGTTTGTTGATGCATTTTTAAAGTGTGTTTGCGACCCTTTCATATATTCTTGTGACCCACTTGTGGGTTGTGACCCAGGGGTTGAGAGAGACTAGTGTAGACTAAGGTTAAATTTTATTTAAGAAACAGTATTTCTGGTGTAAATTATCATTTAATTTTCATAGATATTTTTTTTTCTTCCAGAGAACAGAAGATCATTTCCAGCAGTGTTCCTCTCCTAAGGTCAGGGTTAACTTCATGTGCCAACTATAACATCATGAAGAGCTAATGGAGAGTGGCTGTGACCAAAGACAGATGTTCTGACAACTTGGGTCTTCTGGCTTCCATTGCACTTCTAAGTAAGAAAACAAACTTAATACAATCATCCTACCTGAATAACAGTAGTAACATTCCATTAGCCTAAGTGTTTCCTATAGTTTTGCTTTGGGTATTTTTCTTTTTCTTTTTTCCCAAGT